CTGCTGTAACACGTAACACAGCTGCTGTAACACGTAACACAGCTGCTGTAACACGTAACACAGCTGCTGTAACACGTAACACAGCTGCTGTAACACGTAACACAGCTGCTGTAACGTGTAACACAGCTGCTGTAACACGTAACACAGCTGCTGTAAAATGCATTGAAGCTGAAATTAAACATATGCTGAGGCTGAGACAAAGTCTGAAGCTGAAGCGAAATATATATGCTGAGGCTATAACATATGCTGAAGCTAAAACATATGCTGAGGCTATAACATATCAGAACCTGAAGTGTACCCTCCTCTGAAGCTGCATCAGGCAGGTCCACAAGGTTGCCTGAAGGACAGCATTCAGGTTCTATTGTTTGCATTCAGGTTCAATTTTCGAAGTAAGTTGTGTTCACCGAAACCATGCAGTGCATTCCTAAGTCAATCTTGCGTTACTTATCGGCATCTAATGTTGAATCAAAATTTAATAAACGTTTTTTCAATGAAATCAATTCGTATTCAACGTTATTCCAGCTTCATTGACTAGGTGAGATTGTTTTGTTGGAAATGAACGTCGGATATCAACTCGGAGACTCTAAGGCTAAGAAATGCAAAACTGGAAAAATTTATTATTTCGTGATATTGACGAAGAATTGAAAAAAATTACACTACAAGACAGTTATTAGCTAGAGTTGGGCCTTGAATTAAAAAAAAACCGTCAGGGGGCTGAATCCCCCGGACGTTTTCTTAGTTGTTTGCAGTTGATGGAGGACTGAAATATATTGCAAGAGGAACTGCATTAGGCATGATTAGGACGAATGGTAGAAAATCTAAATTGCACATACGCAGCCGAGCAGCTGATATGCTCCTATGTATAATATGTATATTAATGAAGAAATGCTATTCATCCAGAATCTGCACCTATACAAGATAGAGACTAAATGTTAGCGCATATATTAATTGATTACATTTCCTGTAAACTGCCTCATTCTGAGATTATGATTAGATTAAACTATCAGCCTATTTGAGTTTAACGAATATGATTGCTATGCATGAACAGCAAGTTTTGCTGTTCATGCAAGTTTTGCTGTTCTATATAAAAAAATTGCTATGTATGCATTGAACAACGAACATGTGTAACGAAATGTTAGTAAACATTATACTGCAACTCAAAGAACTTGCCTACTTTCGCTGAATTATTATAAATTCTAACCTTCGAAGCGCGAGGAAAATGACATAATGTTTTGGCTTGAATTGAAATTATAGTTACGCATAATTCATATTTATTAAGACTACTCATAGCGACTATGAGACGGGAGCTGTGACTTTGAGATTGTTGGGTTAATGTTGATAACTGGGACGCTTAAATCATGGAGATCTCTCGAAACGACAAGCGGGCCATGCTGCGATAATTAAGCGGGCCATGCAACGATAAGCGGACCATGCAACGATAAGCGGGCCATGCTACGATAATAAGGCGGGCCATGCTGCGATAATTAAGCGGGCCATGCAACGATAAGCGGGCCGTGCTACGATAATAAGGCGGGCCATGCTGCGATAATTAAGCGGACCATGCAACGATAAGCGGGCCATGCTACGATAATAAGGCGGGCCATGCTGCGATAATTAAGCGGGCCATGCAACGATAAGCGGGCCGTGCTACGATAATAAGGCGGGCCATGCTGCGATAATTAAGCGGACCATGCAACGATAAGCGGGCCATGCTACGATAATAAGGCGGGCCATGCTNTGCGATAAGCAGGCCATGCTGCGATAAGCGAGCCATGCTGCGATAAGCAGGCCATGCTGCGATAAGCAGGCCATGCTGCGATAAGCAGGCCATGTTTAGAAATGAAGTGAGAGAGCATGTTTAAAAGTGTAATGAGGTCGCATGCTATAAGTTAAATGAGATAGCATGTTAAAAGGGAACTGAAATGGCATGTTAAAAGGGAAAAGATATAGAATGTTAAAAGGGAAATGAGATAGCATGTCAAAAGGGAAATGAGATAGCATGTCAAAAGGGAAATGAGATAGCATGTCAAAAGGGAACTGAAATAGCATGTTAAAAGGGAAATGTTATAGCATGTTAAAAGTGAAATGAGATAGCATGTTAAAAGGGAAATGAGGCCGCATGTTAAAAGGGAAATGATATAGCATGTTAATAGGGAAATGAGATAGCATGTTAAAAAGAAAAATGAGATATTAGAGGGAATTGAGAAAGCATGTTAAAAGAGAAAAAAATTATTTAGCATGTTAAAAGGGAAATGAGATAGCATATCAAAAGGGATATAAGATAGCATGTTAAAATTTAAATGAGATAGCATGTTGAAAAGGAATTGAGAGAGCAGGTTTAAAAGGGAAATGAGATAGCATGTTAAAAGTGAAATGAAATAGCATATTAAGAGTGAAATGATATAGAATGTTAAAAGGGAAATGAGGCTTGCTAACGTCGCTGCACTTTCGGCCATGATTTTGTTTTACTGGAAACTTGCAAAAAGTCAGAACGAGGGAGCCTTTCTGCATGAGAACAGCTCTACCAGGAAAATTTGAATTAGTTCAATTTGATAACAAATCGACCTGTTAGAAATTATTGCTTACGATGAGTACTGTTCCACATCAATAGGCTATGGGGTGTTTGTTAGTTTACGTTCCATTAGACTTTCTAATTTTTTCAGTAACAGGGGATTACACTGAACTAATATAAATGAATTAAGTACATAAGTAGATTATCAATCATTCAAGATCCCTCTCGCCATCCTCTACCATTGATGTCTAAAGCCTCCAAGTTTACGATTAATGTTAGTAGACCTCCTGATACCATTTCTTTTTAATGGGATCCTTAACTTTCAACAGTAAAATCCACTGACTCATCTCTGCTATAATTTTCTGAAAAACGCGTTTGTATTTCCGCGCGTTCAGGTCCATAAGACACAGAACGAAGGGTTCGTTTTTCACGGCCGAGCGCTGGCCAGTGAAAGTGAAAATCTTTCGCTGTTCGGTAGCGTGGCTTTCCACGCCAACTAATCCAGCGCCGGCAACAGTGGATCTAGAACTCGCAACGGTAATGGCAACAGAAGTGGCAACGGGGGTGGCAACGGCGGTGGCAACGTAAATTTGACAGCGTATATAACAGGGCGGGAGAGCGGAGGCGAGGAGTCGCAAATGTGACGCCACGTGTTGGAGTCACGCGAACTTTGCAGGGCTAATCGCGTGGGTGGGGATGACTGAGGTGCATTTCATTTCTCGTACTCGTGAACTTTATGCGGTGATTTTCCGAACTCTGTAACTAATCAGCATTTCGTTGAATTAACCACGAACTTTGAATCTCTAGAACACCGATCAGTCAAAACCAAAATCCTGAAACTGGTATAATTTTTTTTAGTTTTAGTATTGCTGGTGAATTCGTCCCCATTCATTAATACGTATAAATTTATTAAGCCATTTGAGTTATTCACGTTGACAAGTTTCCTGTAATCAAATTTACCAGCGCGACGCTTTATTTTAATACAATATGAAATGTTGGCTCCTCATTGGGTGCATGAAAATCAGCAATGCGCACGACATTGTTAATTAAGTGTAGAATGTACTCACTCTCCATAGTAGGTACCTAGAGTAAGTTTCACCACACTCTTATGTAATGTGGTTATTGAAAGGGACGCAAACTTTGTAAAATTCTATTGAAGCGAAATATTATCAAGCAAACGGGCCCTAAATAAGCGCTGACCACTAATACGAGATTTTAGATGAACAAATTATAAACAAATAAATACTTGTAAAACTGCTCGCACTTAATGATATTACATTTCTATAGCGTAACACCTTCTGATGGCAGTGACTTTTTTCATAAAGTGAGTCGAAGTTACTTCTTTAAGTTTTACTGAAGATATATTCGAGGTTCGGTTCAGGGTTTGTTCTTAGACGCAATGAAAGAAGAATGCTTGCCTGCCGAGTTGTTTTGATATGGAAGCAGCAGTTGATCATACATATTCATTATACATTCCTCATACAAGAGCGAAAAGGGAATGAGGAATGATTATAATTAGGTTAAAAAGTGAAAGGGAAATGACGAACTAGTGTCTGTTCTCGACGTTTGTGGCAGCCAACATTAATGTCTTATGCATGTTTTCGAGAAATAATTTCTTATTAAACATTATCAATATGCCAGTTTCAGATTATTGATTTTAAACTTCCATTCCTGCAATTCCGTGAACAATTTTAAAGTTATAAATTCAGATAAATCAACTGTAATTTAGATACAAACTTCTTCATTCTGAAACTAAATAAGAAAACGAAATGAAATTTTCCTAGATTTTATCAGTTGAATCTTATTGGTGAAAATTTTGAAAATAATTATGATTTCTATTCAAAATTGGCTTTTTTGGTAAGAAAAAAAATTTTGCAATTCGCTCCTTCTGCCTTATACATTTTGAACCCCACATTTGAGTCCCAAATTTTGGTCCCACATTTGAGCTCCAAATTTGAGCCATACATTTTAGCCCTACATTATTATGCTGACGACAAAGAAGTGGTCAACCATGCTGATGCATGTAGCCATCATGCTCATGCTGCTGGATCAGCACGCTCAAGGTGAGTCAAGCTTCAAGCATGAGTGTCATGATGTTGACATTCACCGACCGATGAGTGATGGCCGTTGGATCATTACTCACGCAGCGTTGAAGTCACCATCACTCACATGAGCACCACAGTCAATGCTGAGATGCTCAGATGAATAATGAGTATATGCTTATTATTATACTATAAGTACAGAGATTATTATAGACGATTGAAGGTAAAGTTATAGATACGACGAACCAAAATTTATTCATTTTTCAGGCAAAATTGCTCAAAATAATGGAAGCAGACGCAATTTTTACGCTAATTCAAGATTGATTTAGCAATTAAATGACAATGCATATGCACGTAAAACTTCGCAGACAGAACACGCAGAGCAGAAAGCCCAATACAGAGTGTGCTGATCAGAGCAGGGGTTGTAACAGAGACCAGAGCAGAGCGCAGAGACCGCATCAAACAGAGAGCGCACCAACAGAGCTACAAGTCGTGCGTGACTCGCGGCTACGCTCTCTGTCCTGCCACCAGCGTTATGCCGTCAACTGTACCAGCGTTATGTCATCAACTGTACCAGCGTTATGTCATTAACTGTAACAGTAACAGAGTTATAGCACTAACAGCAACAGAGTTATAGTGCTAACAGCAGCAGAGTTATAGCGATAACAGCAGCAGATTTATAGCGCTAACAGCAACAGTGTTATAGCGCTAACACCAGCAGAGTTATAGCGCTAACAGCAGCAGAGTTATAGCACTAACAGCAACAGCTTTGTAGAATCAGCTGCACCAGCGTTATAGGATGTAATAAGACATAGTAGGTATTTGAAACACGGCCGATCGAAATACGAATGGTTCGTTTCCGCTGCTTATCAATACTTCAATATTAAAGCATTTCCAACTAATTTGTTCGGAAAAAAATTAGCAAGAATTCTAGCGCTGCAAAAATCCACTGAAGAGTTCTTACATTACACAACTTTATGATGGTGGAGTCCATTCCCCTTCTCACCCTCATCGTCCTCTCCCCACACTCCATTTCCACCCTCCCCTTTCCTTGACTTCCACCCACCCACTATAATCCAGAGAGCTTTTTTCAGTTGATTTCTCTTTTAATATTCATTGTTTTGCCTGTAAAATTTTACACGTTATAAACTTGTTGCTGACAGCGACACAGGCGGCAAAAAACACACACACATAAACTTCAAATTTTCTCGAGATATCAGAAAAAAAATTTTGATTAATCTCAAGGTGAGTGCAATTGGTACCAGACAGTGATATAAAAATCATTTTATAATAAGTGTCGATGGCATTCCAACCAAAATTGAGAAGGCATTCCAACTAAAATGGCATTCCAACTAAAATAAAGAAATCATAAAATATGAACGATTTGAAAGAAAATCTTCCCTCTTGAATATCCTCCGTCTGAGTCTTTTCGCTTTGCAGAAGAATATTCTTTCTGGCAACATCTTGTCTGCGGGACTTTATCCAGTCGTCAATAAGTCTTCTTAGTCTTATAACCTGTCACTTATCATCACATGTCTCTCATATAAATTATCATCACATGTCTCTCATATAAACTATTTTCCGTGTTATCAAGCGCATATTCAACACCAAACTGCCTGGGAAGTTTCCAGAACAGGACGCACGCCCAGCCTCGGGTATGGAAGCTTCCAGTCAAGCCTGCCAGCCGCACGACACATGCACGTTATGCGGCGCTGTTGGCTGCCGCTCGCTCTTCCTGGATCTTGTGACGTCGATCATCTGTTTCTTAGTAAAAATTATTCCAGGGGTAACCGCGGTGTTCGGCTGGCCACACATTCCCCCACGATGATTTAAAAATGAGATTCGTAGACAACCACCACATGAGAACCGATGCCAGATGTTGCCGGGCTTGATGATACCAGATGTTGCCATGCTTGATGATACCAGATGTTGTCAGGCTTGATGATACCAGATGTTGTCATGCTTGATGATACCAGATGTTGTCATGCTTGATGATACCAGATGTTGCCATGCTTAATGATAGCAGATGTTGCCAAGCCTCGATGATATCAGCAGATGTTGCCAGGCTTAATGATACCAGAAGTTTCCGAAACATGATTCTGTGTGTTTTGATATCAATATACAAAAGTTGAAACTTAATAAAATTAATTTTCCGGTTTAAAATACTCTTGTTTTGAAGCAAAGTTCTAGAAATGTTTTAAAGTCAGTGGATGAGATCATCACTTGGCTGGCGTTGCAGTCACTGCGTTGGAAGACCTCAAAGTTATTAGCAACATTGCAATCTCATTAAGCGTGATTAAAGTTAATTGTTACATGACTTTCATACAGTAAATTTAAGAAATATAATAATGAATTATTGGTATTTTTATTTTATTTCTGTTCCTGACATCATTTTACGCATACTCTTTTTTCGAAGCGGAGAAGTGGTATATTTTGATTAAACATTAATAACAGATCGTTAGGATTATTAATTTTTATTATTATGCTATATTAAGATTATTCAGCTATATTATTCGGGAGAAATTATGAAAAAATTTAAAAAAATTACAAAAGATATAAATTGTTTCTAAGAATTATAAATGATAGCTTGCAATTTTTTGTTAAACAGAAATTTCGTGTAAAGCAGATAACTGTTGTTAGTGCTGTAAACCATGCAAATTAATTTACTGTCAATCTTCTGTCCTGCATAGAACGAGATTAAAAAGACATGGATAAAATATCACAATTAACATTAATAATTACACATAAATAATTACCCATTAATAATTGACCATTAATAATTGACCATTAATAATTGCCCATTAATAATTACCTCTTAATAGTTATTCATTATTAATAACCGATTAATGGTTGTACCTAAATTATTACCCCTCAATAATTACCCACAATAATTACCCAATAATAATAAAACCTTAATAATTACCCGTTAATAATTACCCATTAACTAAACTGCAACAACACGAAGAGAGCAAGAAAGGAAACGTAATTTGTTCACCAGGACAAACATATGCAGCAACTGAAGAACCGCAAAGGTTAGGCAGCTCATGGACTTGCCGGGCGTTTTGCTTTCTTTTGGCTAAACATTTAAAGCACATCGACACTAAGAAAAATTAGTGAGACATTGTCCAAATTGTGTTGTATTTTCCCAATTGTGTGGGTCATTCTGACCCAGTTTTGCCCTACAAAAAGGCGTTTTGTTGTTATTGTGTTGGTGTGTTGTTGTGTTGGTGTGTTGGTGTGCTGTTGTGTTGGTGTGTTGTTGTGTTGGTGTGTTGGTGTGTTGGTGTGTTGTTGTGTTGTTGTGTTGTTGTGTTGGTGTGTTGTTGTGTTGTTGTTTGGTGTGTTGTTGTGTTGGTTTGTTGTTGTGTTGTTGTTTGGTGTGTTGTTGTGTTTGTGTGTTGGTGTGTTGTTGTGTTGTTGAGTTGTTGTGTTGGTGTGTTGGTGTGTTGTTGTGTTGTTGTGTTAGTGTGTTGTTGTTTGGTGTGTTGGTGTGTTGGTGTGTTGTTGTTTGGTGTGTTGGTGTGTTGTTGTGTTGTTGTGTTGTTGTGTTGTTGTGTTGGTGTGTTGTTGTGTTGGTGTGTTGGTGTGTTGTTGTTTGGTGTGTTGGTTTGTTGGTGTGTTGGTGTGTTGGTGTGTTGTTGTGTTGGTGTGTTGTTGTGTTTTTGTGTTGTTGTGTTGGTGTGTTGTTGTGTTGTTGTTTGGTGTGTTGTTGTGTTGTTGTTTGGTGTGTTGTTGTGTTGGTGTGTTGGTTTGTTGTTGTGTTTTGGGTTTTGTGTTTTTGTTTTTTTTTGTGTTTTTGTGTTGTTGTCTTGGTGTATGATTCTGTTCAGGTGATTGCACTCATGACTAAATGATTAATGTCAATTGATGCCATTTTTTTAATTATAAACTTTTTGGTACTTGAAACTGATAAACTAGGTAAGGACGACCCACAAAAGAGCAATAAGTACATCGCTATTTGAACAATGACTCTTACATTCCTCTGAGTGTATGTTTGCTTGTCACTGGAGGATGTTCACCGCTCGAAGGAACAGATGTAGGAGGGACAGAAAACTTCTCCTTAATTAACAAGAAAACAAACTTAGTTCTTTTTACGAGGGCTCTAATGACAAGCAAGGTAAACTTTCTGAAACATAATTTTACATTCCTCTGAGTGTATGTTTGCCGGCCATTGGAGGATGTTCACCGCTCGAAGGAACAGATGTTGGAAAGACAGAAAACTTCTCCTTAATTAACAAGAAAACAAACTTAGTTCTTTTTACGAGGGCTCTAATGACAAGCAAGGTAAACTTTCTGAAACATAATTAAGTTTAACGAAGCACAAGAACTTCCGCAACCTTCTTATAAGGTACGGGGTTGTAATACCGGTTGTCATTTAGGATTAATAAGAAATGGTATAACAGCTACAAACTTAGAGTTTTTTTTTTTTGGGGGGGGGGTGAACTTAATGATAGAAAAATCGAGCCAAATTTTCAATATAATAATAAAATTTACGAAACACAAGATTTTGCATCCTCCATGTACAGGGAATTATGCCGGACGGCATTTAGTACAAATAAACGATCATTATAATTTATAATAAATTATAAAGCATAATAAAAAATATCGGCTATGAACTTCTGTGTTGGTGGTACCCTGCAGGATGTAGACAAAACACAACTTGATGAACAGTATACATCAAAGTACTGATATGTTTTCATTAAAAGTTTATTCTTAGCATAATTTTCTACTAAAAACTTTCTCCCTCCTTGATTTTCATGATATTTGAAGGAGTTACAAGATGATGAATACTTGTGTATGAAAATGAAAATCATTTGTTAAGATTTTGCTAAGAATCGAAAATGGAAAAAAAATCGCAGAAAATTCACATTGTTTTCTTTCCAGAAGGGTCGGGCACGAGCTCAATGATTTTTTTAACATTTCAATTATACAACTTTACTAAGTTACTTTTTTTAAAGGGGAAACTTTGAAGGGAACATAGTAATATAATATAAAAATATGTATATATACTACAATTTCGATTAAAGACCAGAGCATGCTTTTTATTAATAATCTTCTTCGTTTTTTCACTGAGTCAAACAAAATTTCTTGCTGGCGCCGGGAGATCAAAAAGCAGGTTCCCAAATGAAATTTTAATGGAATGCGACGTTTCGAAAATACAATCAAACTTGCATAAAAGAGAAGCTTCTGCCAAAATGAACCAATATACTACAATATAAACTTTATAGTAACTTCATATAAACCCCTCAGGTTCAGAGCGGCACCCCCGGCAGAGCAGCAACGCCACCACCACAGAGCAGCTCTGCAGAGGCCGCGACTCTGAGGAGTACTTCAGACTCTCTGCCGGCGACGACTGCAGAGACGTTGTTAGGTGCGGTGTACGGTCTCTTATATGTCTAATATATGACTAATGTAAGCCTAATATAGGCCTAATATACGACTAATGTAAGCCAAATATAGGCCTAATATATGAATAATGTAAGACAAATATAGGCCTAATATATGACTAATGTAAGCCTAGTATGGGCCTAATATATGACTAATGTAAGCCTAATATAGGCCTAATATATGACTAATGTAAATCAAATATAGGCCTAATATATGACTAATGTAAGCCTAGTATGGGCCTAATATATGACTAATGTGAGCCTAGTATAGGCCCTGTCTCTTATACACATCTAGATGTGTATAAGAGACAGGTGTTGGAGTGTTGGAGTGTTGATGTGTTGTTGTGTTGTTGTGTTGGTGTGTTGATGTGTTGTTGTGTTGTTGTGTTGGAGTGTTGTTGTGTTGTTGTGTTGTTGTGTTGTTGTGTTGGTGTGTTGTTGTGTTGNCTAATGTAAGCCTAGTATGGGCCTAATATATGATTAATGTAAGCCTAATATATGACTAATGTAAGCCTAATATAGGCCTAATATATGACTAATGTAAGCCTAGTATGGGCCTAATATATGATTAATGTAAGCCTAATATATGACTAATGTAAGCCTAATATAGGCCTAATATATGACTAATGTAAGCCTAGTATGGGCCTAATATATGATTAATGTAAGCCCAATATATGACTAATGTAAGCCTAATATATGACTAATGTAAGCCTAATGTAAGCCTAATGTAAGCCTAATATATGACTAATGTAAGCCAGTATGGGCCTAATATATGACTAATGTAAGCCTGATATAGGACTAATATATGACTAATAAATGACTAATGTAAGACCAATATAGGCCTAATATATGACTAATGTAAGCCAGTATGGGCCTAATATATGATTAATGTAAGCCCAATATATGACTAATGTAAGCCAAATATATGACTAATATATGCCTAATGTAAGCCTAATGTAAGCCTAATGTAAGCCTAATGTAAGCCTAATGTAAGCCTAATGTAAGCCTAATATATGACTAATGTAAGCCTAATATATGACTAATGTAAGCCCAATATATGACTAATGTAAGCCTAATGTAAGCCTAATGTAAGCCTAATATATGACTAATGTAAGCCTAATGTAAGCCTAATGTAAGCCTAATATATGACTAATGTAAGCCTAATATAGGACTAATGTAAGCCTAATGTAAGCCTAATATATGACTAATGTAAGCCTAATATAGGACTAGTGTAAGCCTAATATAGGACTAATGTAAGCCTAATATAGGACTAATGTATGACTAATGTAAGCCAAATATATGCCTAATATTGGTCTAATATATGCCTAAAGAAGGCCTTATATAAGCCTAATATATGCCTAATATAAGTCCAATATATGCCTCATAAAGGCCTAATATATGTATTACATATAGAGATATAATGAAGACTTAATATAAGGCTAATATAAATCGAAATAAATAGGAAGTATCGCGTCGGTAGTATACATGCACATATATGGTCTTATATATATGTTCGCTCGATAATTTGATTACAAATCAAGAGGAGGTCAATTGAAGTCTCTACACTCAGAACAATATACGGGTCATGTTTCGGGTTATGTTATGTTATACGGGTCATGTATACGGGTTATGTTATGTTATACGGGTCATGTATACGGGTTATGTTATGTTATACGGGTCATGTATACGGGCCCAGGTATTGACACACAGCCCAGAGTGGCTTCACCCATTTCTCCAAAAAGTCTCACTCATTCAAAGTCTCACTCATTTCTCCAAAAAGTCTCACATTCAAAGTCTCACTCATTTCTCCAAAAAGTCTCACATTCAAAGTCTCACTCATTTCTCCAAAAAGTCTCACATTCAAAGTCTCACTCATTGCTCCAAAAAGTCTCACCCATTTCTCCAAAAAGTCTCACTCATTCAAAGTCTCACCCATTTCTCCAAATGTATCGGTAAATTGTGCTCGTAACAAGTCTCATAAATGTATAACTAACATTCACATTTAGAAAAAATTCAAATATATTACAGATTTTATTACAGCGAACATCCAAAAATTAGCCCGCGATTCTTTGTCCAGCTAATTAATGTGCAAAACCCCCTATATATCATATATACGTATAGCACCCAAATATGCAGAACACCTATACATTTCATATTTAGGCAAAATACTTAAATATCATTTTTATGCATAGCACCTAAATATCATATATATGTATAATACATAATTATCATATATGTATAGTAACCTAAATATGACCTATATTTATTATATTTACTATACTACTATAATATTACTATATATAGTAGTATATCTTACTATACTATAATATTTACTATAAAAATATATAGTAAATAAATGCTAGGGCCCTATACACTATACAGGGTCTGTCTCTTATACACATCTAGATGTGTATAAGAGACAGATGTTATACGGGTCATGTTACGGGTTATGTTATGTTATACGGGTCATGTATACGGGTTATGTTATGTTATACGGGTCATGTATACGGGTTATGTTATGTTATACGGGTCATGTATACGGGTTATGTTATGTTATACGGGTCATGTTACGGGTTATGTTATGTTATACGGGTCATGTTACGGGTNTGCGCTAAAAATAAAACAGCGAAAAGAAAACATGTCAAGACAACGTAATGAGTATGCAAAATGATCTTACTAAAACTGTGCGCAAGCACGATTTTAGCACACGTCACTGAAAGTTCTATCAAACGCTTATGGCTACATCGATCTGTCTGATTTTTGGTGAAGAGATGCAGATAAACATAGGGAACAAATCCTAACCTTTCAAATTTTTTTAACTCTATTACTTTTCGAGTTACAGCCATTCAAAGTTGGGTATCGTTTTTTTTGGGACACCCTGTATAGACTTCATTGAGCAGTTATAAGCCTTTGTTCACGTGAGTACATTTTTTAATGTCCACTACTACATTATTGGGAACCAAAATTCTTTTTAATGTGGCAATGTTTGGTTTTCTTGAAGCGCATATATGTGCTAAGCAGCCACATAATCCCGTAAATATTTTCCCGGAAATGAATGTTCATGTGATATTTATCAATATTGGCTGCCGCATGCGAATTTTACGTAAAATTTGCAGTAATTATCAAACACTAAAGACAATTCTTAAATAAGACCATTATTGATCACTAAAGACAATATCTAAGTCACATTTCTTCTTATACTACACCGTATTAAAGATTCCTCGGACAATTAGCATTATTAGAAACAAAATTCACTATAATAATGAATAAAACACTGCAAAAATATATTTCAATTGGATTCTGAACATAATCCCATTCGGTGTGCACCCAGCCAGGAAAAGAAGCTGTTCTGACATAGAAAAAAAAGAAGTGAAACAATCCAAGGTTCAAAAAATTTTATTTATAACAAAATATATATATAATTAGTTAATTACTGAATATTTAATTGCATGACAGATGTGACCGCAGTGGACGCTCTGGCCCCAGCCGCCTGGCCGCAGTGCGGTGCCCCAACGGCCTCGCCTTCGACGTCGACAGACAAGTCTGTGACTGGAAGACCAAAGTCCGCAACTGCGACAGACTTGAGAGTGAGACTTGAGAGTGAGACTTGAGAGTGAGACTTGAGAGTGAGACTTGAGAGTGAGACTTGAGAGTGAGACTTGAGAGTGAGACTTGCAGGCATTGCTTGTGATAGTGATTAGGAGTCTCATTAGTCAGCAGACATGGCTTGGGATAGTGGTTAAGAGTCTTATTAATCAGCAGACATGGCTTGTGTTAGTGATTAGGAGTCTCATTAGTCAGCATACACGGCTTGTGTTAGTGATTAGGAGTCTTATTAATCAGCAGACATGGCTTTACATGGCTTGTGTTAGTGATTAGGAGTCTCATTAGTCAGCAGACATGGCTTGTGTTAGTGATTAGGAGTCTTGTTAATCAGCAGACATGGCTTGTATTAGTGATTAGGAGTCTTATTAGTCAGCAGACATGGCTTGTGTTAGTGATTAGGAGTCTCATTAGTCAGCAGACATGGCTTGTAGTAGTGATTAGGAGACATTAGTCAGCGGACATGGCTTGTGTTAGTGATTAGGAGTCTCATTAATCAGCAGACATAGCTTGTGTTAGTGATTAGGAGTCTTATTAATCAGCAGACACGGCTTGGGATAGTGATTAGGAACCTCATTAATCAGCAGACATGGCTTGTATTAGTGATTAGGAGTCTTATTAGTCAGCAGACATGGCTTGTAGTAGTGATTAGGAGTCTCATTTGTAAGCAGACATGGCTTGTGATAGTGATTAAGATACCGCATCATTTTTATGTTGACTCGACCTGGGGTCCTGATAACGCGTACGTAACATATCTGTTATTCTATTTCACCGTAACCCATCTGTCCTCACATCATCTGTCCTCACATCATCTCTCCTCACATCATCTGTCCTCACATCATCTGTCCTCACATCATCTGTCCTCACATCACCTGTCCTCACATCATCTGTCCTCACATCATCTGTCCTCACATCATCTGTCCTCATATCATCTGTCCTCACATCATCTGTCCTTACATCACATCCCCTTACATCACATCCCCCCAGGACCGCGGAAGATTAAGCCGCTGCTGGTGACGGAGGAGCCGCTGTGCTCGGGGACGGACCTGGCGTGCGGCAGCGGCGTGTGTGTCGCCAAGGAGCTCTTCTGTGATGGCAAACCTGACTGTGATGACGGTTCCGACGAGAACACGTGTGGTGAGTTAGCCGGTGCATGTGATGTCAGGATTGTGATGCTAGGGTGGCAGCATGTGCGGTGTAGAGGGTGTCATGCTCAGTGTTACATGTAACAGCATTATTGTATAAGAGGGGTAACAGGCTCAGTGTATAGGAGTTGGATCAAGCTCAGTATATGTTGTAACACTATCGAAGTGGAGTAAAGAGCGGTAGGATATGTTATACTATCAGGAAATTTATACAACGATATTTTTACCGCAGGTGTGGAAGAAGATCCAAACCGAGCCCAGGTGTGCGACAAAAGTCAATGCGTTTTGCCAGAATGTTTCTGTTCCGTGGACGGCACTAGAATTCCTGGTGATATCAACCCAAAACAAACACCGCAAATGATCACCATCACATTTTCAGGAGCAATCAACCTTGATAATGTGGATTTGTACGATGACATCTTCAACGGGGAAAGAAAGAATCCCAACGGTTGTCAAGTGAAAGCAACGTTCTTCACGTCGCACAAGTACACCAATTACTCCGCAGTTCAAGAACTACACAGGAAAGGCCATGAGATCGCTGTGTTCTCGATCTCGAACAAAGAAAGTCGAGACTATTGGTCCCATGGAACATACGACGACTGGCTTGCTGAAATGGCTGGGGCCAGACTCATCGTCGAACGTTTCGCCAATATCACAGATAATTCCATCGTCGGGTTACGAGCGCCCTACCTCAGGGTTGGAGGAAACGCTCAGTTCGACATGATGAACGATCAGTTCTTCTTCTACGACGCTTCGATTACAGCGCCATTGGGGAAACTTCCGCTATGGCCGTACACATTGTACTTCAGGATGCCTCACAAATGTCACGGGAACGGCCAAAATTGTCCATCACGCTCCCACCCCGTCTGGGAAATGGTCATGAACGAAATGGACAGAAGAGACGACCCAGAGTTTGACGAAGGACTATCTGGGTGTCATTACGTCGACTCCTGCACCAACATCCGGACTCCAAAGCAATTTGCCCATTTCCTCGAGCACAACTTCAGACGACACTACAACACAAACCGTGCACCACTCGGCTTGCATTTCCACGCTTCTTGGCTAAAAGGAAACAAAAATTTTAAAAAGGAACTCATCAATTTCATTCAGTCAAAATCGGGCAACCCTGACGTGTATTTCGTGACCATGCTTCAAGTGATTCAATGGATGCAAGCACCGACCGAAGTGGCAGGACTTCGCGATTTCCCAGAATGGAAGGAGAAATGCGACGTGCAAGGTCTGCCATTTTGCTCATTACCAAACACTTGCCCGGTGAGGACACGAGAGATTCCTGACGAGACTTTGAGTTTGTTCACCTGCATGGACTGCCCCCGCAACTACCCCTGGCTGCTCGACCCTACCGGGGATGGCGTGGAAATTATATAATCATCATAGTCTTTGTAAACTGTTGATAATTTTTTTAATTTACCCAATTTATTTGAAAATATAGTATTTCTTTACAAAGTACCGTACGCAACTATTAATCTCATGATTCACTGGTAATGTGTCGAGCCAATTATAATCACCTTAATAATATAATATATGTAGAAGTCATGGATATAAAACCTAAATTTTTTACATGGCTGCCACGATCCAAAAACAAAAACAAAAATGATCATTTAATTATGGTTGAACGTTATCAGTAACTCTCATTCTATCACCAAGCAATTCTAGATCACACTTCTATGATAAATGTCTCAGTATACCACCAGTTGTAATATGTCATCGACTAAGAAATATCTTCGTTTATTTAATTTATTCTATAGAGGGCCTGTTGAATACCTGTTCTTATTTCATATAGGAAAATGTGATGTTTATAACCCATGACTCACTCAAATGTAAATAGAGCTCATAGTAATTAAGTTGCTCACTAATAAATTTAAACTACACAATATGTAAGAAAAATTCTTTATCCGTAATGTACCTAGAGTTTGGAAGGTGACATTTCTGAATAATGGGATCTATAAGTTGCAAAGCTTTTTGACTGAAATAAGACATGATCACTTTGGTTAAAGAAAAGTTATTTAAAAAAATCACTATATCAATTATACAAGAAGCTTATATTCATAATTTCTCCTGTTAAACCAATAACAAACCTAACTTCCAGTAATATATGCATTTTAAGTGAATTTATATACCTTTATCACCGGCAGGCAAACAATTCAGCTTTTGATGGGCTTTCTCCATTTCTTAAATTTTTAGCTAATTACCGTATGACCATGAAACGTAATTCCCTTTTGACCACAGATAATTTTGAAAGAAATAGTGCTTGCGGCGTTAGATTTCGTAGTTTTCGATTGAACAATTTGATGCTTTTTGGTTTTCAGTCGTAAAAGTGTGACGGAATAAAAATGATTTTACTGTCATTTAGAATTTAAATCACGCTAAAAGCTTGCCAAACACGCGGCAAATCGCTAGTAATTTGTGTAATGAAATCCAAAAGCTCGGGGCTCCTCAGAAACTAAACGCGCCATTTTGCTGAAATCTATTCAAATTTATTTCTCTTCATTAAGATCTGCTTTGAAAAGTAAAGTTACTTCAAACAATTAATGCTATAACTGCAAACCCTACCACCATTACGCCATTTAATTCTCCTAAATTCATTCTATAGTTACTTAAATTCCCAGGGTCAACGTTCTGTGCGAGAAATATTCTGTCCTTGAATAACCCTTAGTGCCGGACCAGCCCAAGCCGAGCTAACAATAAGCTAGTAACATAAAGAACTACCATAAATAACTACCATAAATACCGTCAAGTTCAAGCACGAGTGGGAAAGTCTCGGGGGTCGGACGTGGGTTGATGGTCCGGTATAATGCGATGCAGCGGAACAAGGCGCGGTGCAATCCAATGCGTTGTATGTGTCGTTCTATACTGCATAAAGTTACTTGAGTGGTCGTTCAACTGATATTGATGAAGAAAACTGCCAGAGAGAAAGACGAAAATGAAAAAAGCATTGATGAAGAAAATGAAGAAAATGGGCAGAGAGAAACTCGAAAATGCAAAAAAAAATGTAACTCAGTACTCACTGCAGTGAGTNCCGCCATCCTCGGTGGCAGCGACCGGTTACCTGCAGGGCGGCGCCCCTGAACTTGAACTTGCCAGGTTTTCCCACTTGTAATAAGAATAACGGGACTCGCCGTGCCCAGGTCCCCACTGGATAAATGTGCTTTTTCTTACAATAGATTTTTTTCTTCCTCTGCCGCACTGTATCCACCCGGAAAGAATTGTCCAACTCTTCCTATCATGAATACTTTGGATTCAAGTCACACACCAGCACATATAATAATAATAATTAAATTGTTATTATTATATTACATGTATTATATTGCATGTATTATTCAGGTGGCATCTTTGTCCACCTGATCCTTGAGTGTATTTTGTCAGAGTCTTGGATTGAAATACATGCAGGTTGAAGCCGGATTTTAATTGTTATCGAGTTCAACGGAACTGTGGCTCAGAGAGTACGAAACTTCGCCCCAAAGTAAGCTATTATAATCTTTAACCGTTATAACATATCAAAATTTCCGCTATAACTTTGCAGAGACTAAAAGAGGCAAAAAACAGTACAAGGTCCTGCAAAATTGGGCTCACTTACACAAGACAAATGGCAACAATATTGGCTCACCTATAGCTGAAAGGTCCATTTGTGGTCCCGGTCTAGTGCTTTCCGGTCCGGTCATGACCGGTTTATCGGCACTGGTCATGCCGGCTATATAAGCTGGAGGTCGACGGGCCGGACTCCAGAACCATGAATCCTGCGGTCGTGTGCGGTGCTTTACTCCTCCTCCTCCTCCGTGAGTTTTCGTCTCGGGGTCAACAAAACAATAACTTTGTAACATGTATCCTTCTTAGGGTTTTTTTACCAGAGTTTTAAAGTCATTCTTGCGGCAAACTAAGTTGACCTATGCTGACCAGATCATGGTAACAGAGAGATATCTGAAACCTAATCGTACTAAAATAATAATCGAGAATAACAACATTTTCAACGTGCTCACTCATGTTAATGTATTTGTGTTAATCTTTAATTGGTGTATCTCGTGGATGAATTTAATGGAATGTTTAGTGGCATGCTAGAATAATTATCATAATGCTATCATAATTATCATAATGCTATCATAATTATCATAATGCTATCATAATTATCATAATGCTATCATAATTATCATAATGCTAGAATAATTATCATAATGCTAGAATAATTATCATATACTTATCGCGTAAAGTTCCATCGCAAAAAACAGGTGTGAGGATTCTAAATGCATCTCTAAACAACATAGAACTTTAAATTAAGATTGATTTTTAAGTTTCCTCCACTGGGCCTCGTCGACTCTACTTCTACACTCTACTCGCCACACTCTACTTTCTACCTTCTCGTCTATCCCCTCGTTTACATGGTAATGTGTCTATCCTCAATAAACTAAGTAATGTTGAAGATGCTTCGTCACGTTGCTTGTTGATTTATTATGTTGCCTGCACTGGTGTGCTTGTGGCAGATGAGTCAAGAATTTATTGTACCAAGGTTCTTGGAGGCTTATTCATACTATATAGCTTATTCATACTCGATTTAAGGACTAAGGTCAAGAGAAATGAAGAGATAGATTATCCAGTACGTTATTGCTGGTCGAATATAGCGTTTTTGATAGTGCTGGTGTGTGCTGTGGTGCTGATGTGCGTTAGAGACCTCGCGTGGTCTGAAATTCAAAGATCTCGAAATTCAAAGTTTTGGTGGAAAATTTCAAAATGCGGACGCTGGTTTGTCTGGTATTGTTTCGAGTTCAAGTCCATATTAAGAAACGTAGCTAAGTGAATAATACAAATTTTAAAATCTCGACACAAAAACGATAGTTTTTGAACAATTTTCTTTGCGGCGGTTGCTACAGTTGTTCTTACTCTCGCTTTTTTTAGGCGAATTGACACGAATTTTGTTGGTTCAGACTGAACGCCCTGAAGGGGATACAATTTTCATTGGAATAAAATTAATTATATAATAGGAAATAGATAGAAAGCACCTTTTAATAACTGGAGCTATAATAGAATGCAACGATAAATTGAGCACCTGATAATAAGTAACTGATCGATTATGCTAACGGCAATCAAGATAAATGAAGTATCCAAGAAGTATCCCTAAAAAATTGAAATTAATTATTTAGTAGTAGAAATGACGTGACGATATTAATCAGAATTATGGATGAACATGATCGTGATTACCGATCTGCTAGTTTACACATCAGGAAAGCAGTGCACTCTATAAAGCTGTTATTTTCACGCATTGCATCTGCCGAATTGAAAGCTGCACTGCCACACAATTTGTGCATTAACAGACCATTTTTATTTTGTCGGTTGAAAAAGCATCAAGAACAATATTCGTTGTTATTTTAGAATTTAGAAAAATGCGTCCCAAATATCCAAACAAGTCACAATATCTGGACAAGTCACAATATCTGAACAAGTCACAATATCTGAACAAGTCACAATATCTGAACAAGTCACAATATCTGAATAAGTCACAATATCTGGGCAAGTCACAATATTAGAACAAGTCACAATATCTGAACAAGTCACAATATCTGGACAAGTCACAATAAGTAAATAAGTCACAATTTGTAAACAAGTCACAATAAGTAAACAAGTCACAATATGCAAACAAGTCACAATGTTCCTGCAAGTATACTATCACGCCCGGCCAGCCATATACAAAAATTATCAAGGATAGCTTAGCCACTACTCCTGGTAGCCTCGAGGGGAAGCTTATCTATCCCACTAATTTAATACGCGTTCAATTACTCTAAAAAAATTTTCCACTAAAAATAAAGGAAGATTTATTGACAGAAAGATTCATTTGCAAAAGTGAACCCAAGATATTACCCAGAGTTTCAGTATATTACTCATTCATGGGAATATTACTTCTGTAAATAATTTTATGTCACAACTCCCACCCTCAATGAAGATGGAATTCAGAACACAATTCAAGCTTGAGAAAATAACTTCAATAAATACTTTAATATCACGTCCCCTCAGTAGAGGTGGCGGTGGGTCAGCGGGTGCCGGAGTCGAAGATGGACCCGGAGGTGTACTGCCCAGGCCGCGGCCCCCAAGAGCTCTTCAGGGCGCAACAACCTGCCGACATCACCGAAGAGGAGGTATACGTGCGTTATGGCGCACCGTTGTGAACACAGTTATACGTAGTGATATTGTGCGCAGTGAGACACTGAGACACTTTGTATGTTTGTGTGCTGTGCGTCACTGCGTGTTATTAATTATAATTTTGAACGACACTTACGGGTACATCGTGACTGTTCTCAGCATTATGGAGCTTGCTGGTTACCAACGACACTGGCAACTGAGATCGACGGTAAAAAAAAGTCAATTCATTGGCTGCGAGGGACTCGCTTATCTCTTAACTTTACGCTTGCAGACACAAGACAAAAGACCGAACCAGGAGAACACATTCAAGCTTGTCAAGGAGCAGTGAAGTCAACTTTGGCCCTGTGAACCGAGCCTTCTGAAGTTCTAGCAAAAAATGAGTTTAAAAAATCAATAAAACTGCATCAATTGGTTGCACCAGCCGTTTCTTCTCTTCGAGTAACCATTAGTTACATCTTAGCTTTAGCAATAAACGAACAATTTCGACCCACAGGCCCATGCGACATGCAGGAGCTACTACCGCTGTGTGCCGGGTGGGGGTAACCGCATGCGAGTGATCCACAGCAAGTGCGGCGGCTTGATGTTCTTTGATGTTGAGCTACAGACCTGCCAGCTCCGTAACAAAGTCCACAACTGTGCCAAGTGGGAGCGTAAGTCTTTTGAATTCGTTTCATATTCAGTTTGAATGGCATTCACATTGAAATTTCAGTATGCAACCTTCCATTTTATAAACTATTAATCCTCAAATAGAGCCGTTAGGTCAGAAAAAAACGCTTCAACCGCCTACAGTTGAAATGATTATAAGTTATTGGGGATAGCCTATTCTCTTGCGTTCATATTGCATACTTCAAACAGTGGCTGTATTGACAAACTCTACATGGATTTATTTGAATTGCTAATTTAGTAATTATAGCTCCTCTGATTTTTAAATAATAACTCTTCTGACCTGTTCGTTTATTCTCATATGACTTCGAAAAAATCATAACGATCGATATGTGGAATTGGCCGAAAGAGCTTGGGTGAGAGTTCCATGCTGTAACTGCCAGTTGGCACACATACAGAGATCAGTGACCATGTTAGACCATGAATCGCGTATTCATTGTACAAAGACTAATTTCTAATTGTTGGTTATTTAACAAATTTTAGGAATTCTTCAGTTCACTCATTTAGACTGACGCAATTGACCTGAGTAGACTATTAATACTGGCTCCACTGCACTAGACTTGCTGATAGAACACTTTGAAATTCACGGATAACGGTGATAAATTTTAAGAAACCAGGTTTGAATGACATTGCTGCTTGAGTCAATGAATCACAATTTTCCAGAGGCTCAGAAACCGAAACCAAAATGGCCGCGAAATTACAACGACGAGACTCCATGCACAGCTGAAGAAATAGAGTGCGGCAGTGGCGAGTGTTTGGGCAAAGAACGGTTTTGTGATGACATTCCTGACTGTGAGGACGGGTCAGATGAGAACATCTGCAGCGGTGAGTAGACCAACATATGTTTTGTAATAGTAACTCGGAAAAAAAGTACAAAATATCTCATCTCAAAATATGGTTGAAGATTAAAAGTAATATTTATAAATAACATAGCATTGGGTGAAGATTAACAGAAGTGCGAGAACTGGCAACTAATGAGGTTGCCAACGTTCATTGTGTGAGGCGTCGGCCTCAGCATTGTTCGACTGCCATGGACTACCATTACACTGATTGCTCGAGATGATTCAGTATGAATTAAACTTAAAGTATAAAACTCTTCATCTCAACTTGGTAGCGTGGTTTCAAACTTGAGCCCTAATTATTCTAATCTTCCACCAGGCCCATGTTTATTATAAATAATATATCTTTACCCTTTGCTCAAGAACAGGAAGTAGCTCAGTATTTTGAGATGCATGAAGTTTTTCAATATCCAATGTGCAAATCTAAAATGTGACTCAAAACCGCATCTGGACCAGCCTCCAGTTGAATGAGTGCCCATCTCACCATTACCTCATCTTATTTCATCATATGATTTCGAAACCTCTTTGCCCAGCATTCCATGTAATAAGGCTGTTTTACCCAGTCTCTCGAGAGTATATTCAACTCGAAGCATTGGCTGAATTAACAAACAAATTTTACATTTAAATCAAACAAAACACCAATGTCTTGTGTTCTTGCTATGGTTATTAATCACTAAATCAAAATGTGTTCCAGACCCCGAGATGGATCCCAACGCAGCCGAGCGATGCAATCCCACCACTTGTCTCTGGGCGGAAGGCTGTTTCTGTTCTGTCGACGGTTCACGCATTCCTGATGATCTCCCTCCTGCTCAGACCCCCCAGATGATCATGATCACATTCACAGGATCCGTCAGCGAGGAGAGCTTCAAAGTTTACCAGGAAATTTTCGGGAAAAGTATCACGAACAAGGGGAATGATTGCACTCCTAAGGCAACCTTCTTCGTCAGTCACGTATTTTCCAACTATTCGGCAATTCAGGAGCTTCATCGGCAAGGGCATGAGATCGCCGTGTCTTCCATCACCAACAACGCAGACAAGAACTACTGGAGCAGTCTTTCCGTGGCGGACTTCGAAGCTGAATTCGATGGCGGTCGCTTGATCGCAGAGACTTTCGCTAATATTTCTCAAGGGGAAATTCTAGGATTACGAGTACCTCTCGGTCGCGTAGGAGGTAACAATCAGTTTAGGATGATGACAGAAATGGGATTTTTGTATGATTCGTCTATTGCAGCCCCTCGCGGGCCCTCCCCTTTGTGGCCTTATACGCTCACTCATCGAATGCCTCACAAGTGCATTGGTATTAATCAGAATTGTCCAACTCGCAATTTCACGGCATGGGAGATGGTCATCAACGAGTTGGACAGGAGAGAAGATTCGACATATTCGGAACAGGTGACAGGATGTCACTTAATTGATCAGTGTTCTGGTATCGTCGACCCCAAACAGTTCAGAAATTTTTTAGAGTCAAATTTGCAGCGTCATTACTCCACCAACAGGGCTCCTCTGGGTCTCCACTTCACTTCTTCTTATTTCCTCACTCGCAAGAGCTTCCTGAGGGAGTTCACTAAGTGGATTGCGGACGTCGCATCCCGTGGAGACTTTTTCTTCGTAAGTATGATGCAGGCCATCCAATGGATGGAATCACCTACAGAAATCGCCGCGCTAAACAATTTCAAAGAATGGAAAACGAAGTGTGTTCCTAAAGGACAACCTTACTGTATGCTACCAGATCCGTGTGAGCGAAAGCCCCCTCGGGTTCTGGCAAATGAAGGTAGCATGTACATGCACACATGTATGGAGTGCCCTGAGGAGTACCCATGGCTTTACAACCCATCTGGGAATAGATGGGGATTCATCGACTTGTAGACCCACCACTGAAATAGGCTAGTAATAATGGAGTATAACTATAGCAACAAATTGATTCCATCAGAAAGAGGAATATTAACCATTTTTAAGTTGGAACCCACGATAAGGAACCACATAAGAACTTTCTTAAATTGTGTTCTGGTAAAGAGATGTGTACTTCCCCGAGCTGTACAAGAAGCTAAAAGAGATCCATTTCATGACTAGCAAATCTATAGGCCTTCTGGTACCTCGAGTTTCTTCAGCAACCAATAAAAGGGCAAAGTTAGATCAGATTTGCAGAATGTATTTTTCCATTTTTCCAATTAAAAATACATTCTGGGAATCTAATGAAACATCATTGATTGTCTATATAGTTTCTTGAAAGTTACGTGACTCATAAAAAATGGGCATTCCTTAATTAATAAAGCCATTCTAATAAACGCATCTTTATTGTCCAATATTTATATGAGAGATTTGAGGCGCGTATTCAAACCTACCCGAACTCCCCAGCATGCCTCCCACTCTACGATGTGAAATCCATGCTCACTTCTCAATGCAGGTACTTTTAAACATTGCATCTAGAAATCTGAGAACAGGAGATCTAGAAAGAAAACAGGCGGAAAGCGATAACACCGTTAGCAGACGAGAGAATTGTGCATCATTTCTTGCGAATATGTAGGCATATAATTGAAAACGCTTGTAATTCAGCTTTTTTTTTGTTTTATATTTTATCTTTAGAGGAATATTGATGATCTTAATTTGTTGAGAGGCCATGACAGTCCCGCTGGACGCGTGTAGAAACGAACACTTGGTGCAACCGTGAAAGTCCACCAATTCAAATATAGATTTACAGTAGTTTGCCATCTAATGGAAAGACACCATAAGTTTTCAATGGGTCGCAATAGAAAATCTTTCATGTAAAACTATAAATATAGATTTACAGTAGTTTGCCATCTAATGGAAAGACACCATAAGTTTTCAATGCGTCGCAATAGAAAATCTTTCATGTAAAACTACAAGGGATTTTTTTTTTTCGTACGTTTGCAGTTTTCTGAACTCAGGAAATAGGAATATATTTTAATTCTACAAATTTCACCAAAAATGGTTTATATAAGTAGCTTACGTTTTGTATATGTCATTCAGTCGAAAAAGCATTGATAAAAAATCAAAAGTCAACACTTGGGAAGTAACAAGCTTCCAAGAAGAATCAGGGTGTACGGAGACGATGAGAGAGTTTTTTTTTTTTAAACTAGTACTTTCGGGCACTGTGGTACACTTTACACTGTGATACTTTCGGGCACTGTGGTACACTTTACACTGTGATACTTTCGGGCACTGTGGTACACTTTACACTGTGATACTTTCAGACACTGTGATACACTTTACACTGTGGTACTTTCAGACACTGTGATACACTTTACACTGTGGTACTTTCAGACACTGTGATACACTTTACACTGTGGTACTTTCAGACACTGTGGAAAAGCGCCCGAAAGCTACATCAAAGACGGGGCAACGCGACCACTGCACTCAAGCATTTGCCTTCAGATCATCTGTTTGTTCCAATTTTGCGTACCGTCAGATGGACAGGAAGATCCATAAAGTTGGAATCCTAACCTTTGACGTTTGATGAGATGTGGAGAAGAAATATTATGTAGATTATGAAGAAATTTAGTCTGACAAAGAGAGAAGTTTTCTTGAAATGGATAGAAAAAGTGGAGGATAGGAAGGAGTGGAGGGATAGGAAAGAGTGGAATGATAAGAAGGATTGGAGGGATAGGAAGGAGTGGAGAGTGGAAGGAGAGAAGGGAGAGGAAGGAGTGGAGGGAGAGGAAGAAGGAGGCAGAGGTGACTTGCGTACTTGGTGACTTTGCACTTGCGAATGTTAATTAATAATAATTAATAACGGGGCAATGAGGCAGTTTAATGTAAACTTTCAACAATCTACAGAAATTGAGAAAGAGAAAGAAAAAGAGAGAAGAAGAAGGGAGAGGTGACTGCACTTGCGCACATTGGTGGGTGCCCCGCCATCCTCGGTGGCAGCGACCGGTTACCTGCAAGGCGGCGCCCCTGAACTTGAACTTGCCAATTACACTCATACAAATAAGTGAAACTTCGTCTAATTAACGATGCAGCATGCGCTCATATGGGTTATCCTGACTCAGTTTCATTCGGCAAAAGATCGTATCAAAGCTTCGTCCGCCCTCGGCTCGTGCTGTAGGTAGGAAAGTGTTTCAAATTTTGGACAATTTTATAATCCATTCAGTTGCAAGGTTAAACACTAAACTAGATTTGACGCGCTTAGCTGTCCGGCGAGGGAAAGGTTTGCTATATACAATAATTATATGCACAGTATACCAACCATTGCATTGTACTAACGAGGACAATACATAGATAAATATAACTCTGTACTCACTGCAGTGAGTGACAGAGAGCGCATTTTCTCGTGGACGAAAACGTGAAGTCATGGACGGACAAACAGACAAACGGACAGACAGACGGACAGACGGACATGGCGAGCAAAATAGTGCATTTTTTCCATAAATGAGAAAATGCGCTAAAAATAGGGATCGTCGAGATACTATGGGACTCTAGAGGGTGCATTATAGATGTGAAAACACCTGTATTGAATTTAAAATATATAGCTGGACTGGTAGGAAATATCGTCGACTCCAAGTGGTCGCTTGGATCACAACGGGCTGAGCGCTGAATTGAAATTTTAACAGTGCTTTGATAACCTTTATCGCAGTATAGTCCTTGTAAAGCAATACTTAATCGGATAAACTTACTTCGCTAACCCTTCCCCCACTAACCCTCACTCGGCTAACCTTTATATCCTCTAACCCTTTCCCCGATAACCCACATTCTGCTAACCCTTGCCTCGCTTCCAGAAGCCAGGTTTAACTGTCCAGCTGCACAATGAATATAAGTTGTTTAAGTCATTGCTGCAGTGCAGGTTAGACTGACCGGGATCTATAGGCTTCAAATTGTGTTGAGTAGAACGTGCCTGCGGATACGCGGGTACTAAACTTCGCCCCCCAATGCAAGCTATCCTAATTTTTTATAGTTATTGCCCAATATTTCCGCATAGAGTTTATAGAGACATTACTCTTGTTATCCACACTACTGCGCAGAAGAGTACGTGTCGTAAGGCCTAGCCAGTCAAGCTACAGCATTTGTCTCTATTCGCAGTACGTACGCTAATCTCAGGGCAGGGCTAATCTCTGTAATTCTCCAATTCGCTTGTTACATTTAGGATTTCTAGCTTATTCTGAATAAATGCGAAGACTTATTAAACTATTACTGAATCCGACACCATTACAGAGACTACAGGACGCGAGAGCTGTGCCGCCATCAAACCCTTTCTCTGATCAATTTTTGGAGCGTCTACTGATATCTGACGAAGTAACCTGATACAAGACATCTACAGTCGGACCAATTAAACAGGAATACCAATCTGAACTCATGATACCGAAGATTCCACGTACTGGTCCCGGACATGAGCTCACTGGTATCAGGTTGAAGGCACCAGTAAAGGTTCGCAAGTAGCAGGCCTGTGGTACTGCCTTCAGGTAGTTGGTATCGGACATTATTGGTCATTTCACTGGTCGTTAAGATGTATCGTTCGTGGTTCACCGGTACCGATCGGTTCCTGAGCACCACTAGCTGTTACTCGTACGGCAAGGAGATAGCCGGTACCGTGCAAGGGTTCTCCTGTATTGGAAAAATGTTCATCGGTAGCCCTGATGCCGAGAAAATGGACTCGTATATAAGCAGGAGGGCGGCGGGCCTGACTCCAGAACCATGAATCCTGCGGTCGTGTGCGGTTTTCTGCTCGTCCTCCTCCGTGAGTTTTTCGTTGAGTCGCTTGAAAATTTTTTTTATCGTGTAACCGTATTACAATTATTTTTGACCAGATTTTAAAAATCAAGCGTTTTTCATCAGGTTAGAATAAGTCAACGATTTTGTGACTGTCATCTGTCCGATCCAGATGCCAGAAATTAAAAATGTGCGCAACCACTCGTTTAAAATGGCAGCTGACAACGTCGGCAGTGGTTGTGCATTCGCATTCATCTATAATTAAAAAAAAAAATCCTACGCCTGCATTTCAAGTAATGTGTCATGTGATAATAAATTTTTTGTAAGTATGTTTGAAATAAGTTTCAACTTAAAATGCATACCTTTTAGGCTTGTTCGACGATTAAATTATAAAAATATGTGTAGAATTTTATTACACAGCACGTGTGCTTGAGTTACGCACACACCTTAAAAACTGTTGTCAAACCATAAACAAAATATTGCAAGCTGTTTGAAATAATTAATATTTCCTCAAATAGTTCTTGATCCCCAAATATAACTATCACGAGAGAAAACTAAAAACTATGTCCTTTATTAAAATAACGGGACTAAGAAAAGTAAAATAGATCCAGTGAGCAGGGCTCAACGTCCATTAGAGTTTATCTTAACGAAAGCCTGGCCCTCTTGTGACGGTTTTAAGCCTCGGCTGCAGCGTTAGATCACGTTGAAGATAGCATCATCTGCTCCCGTCATTAGTTGAAGTTTCTCTAAACTCTCAGTTACTTTGTTTTACATCGATTTGTTATCTTTCTGCTAGGTTATGAATATTTTTATAAAACTGGAAAACACAGTTTTTGAATTCTGGTGGTAACTGTTATTTCCAGGCGGGTTACACAGTACGCCGCAGACGCCGCAGACATCAGCGTTGAAGCTCAAACACTAAACACTATTTACACTAAACTGTAAGCCGAACTTCTCTCCTGAATAATTTTCTATAATCGTTTATGCTTTTCCTCAAAGTCCTTGGATCACGCTACTACCAGACCAACCCTCGGGTCTTGCTTAATTACGATTCACATAAGTGTGCACAGAAAAGCACGTCTGATACAACAGGCTTTGCCATGTTTCAAGATTTTATTTATATTTCATTGTTAACCCCACATGATGATATAGATGGCTGTCAACCAGGCAAATCGAACGCCAAACGCGTTTATCAAATAAATCATTCGATCCATAACCATAAAGAAGAGGAAATTAGTGAAAATTTGTTCCTTTTCAAAGGTCATTAAAATAAAAACTGCAAGTTATGTTAGAAATTCTCCCACAGCTTAAAAGCACCCTGAACAATATTCAAAATTTTCATTGCCGAGTCCTAGAGTTTCTGGTGACCAACCGGACCCGCGACCAAAAGTGTGAAATTAAACTTGGAAAAATATTCTTTAATATACAGCTCGATTACATTGACGTGTAATATAACGTAAAATTCAATATACGCAATAACTTAAAACTACACAACGACGTAAAATGTCCGCAATATCGCTAAGCTTATAAAATGTTTGATAAGAGCCAAATAAATATTGTTAGGACTATTAGTCCGACCACGATTACCTTATTAACACAATATCGTTCCTCGCTGTACTAAGTTGGAATGGGTAATAAGGATAAAAAGAAATAAGAATAAAAACGTTCCTAAGAATAAATAAATAAATATAAAAAATATTTCTAAAAACCACGTTTTTCTGGTTTTTACAAAACCAAAAATAATGAAATAAAACAAATAAAAAAACTGTTGAAAAACCACGTTTTCTTAACGGACAAAAAAGAAAAACATTTACTCTCGCATAACATTTAAGTTATGTAAAATTTTATGTAAGAGTAAATGTTTGTCTTTTTTGTCCGTTAAGAAAACGTGTTTCTAACAGTTTTTTTATTTGTTTTATTTCATTACTTTTAGTTTTGCAAAAACCAGAAAAAAGTGTTTTTTTTTAATATTTTTTACAGTTATTTATTTTCTACTTTTTAGTTAGCAATTTTAGTAATTGAAATCAATTTCCAGGGTTGGCAAGTGTGGATGTTCGAGAAACAACTCAATTCCAAACTGTGAATTTTTCGTGTTTTTATTTATTTTTTTTTCGAAAAAAATTTTTAAATTATTTTTTCTGATGATAAAAACTTGAATTGTTAGGCAGCATAACCAGGTTTTTCTGGTGTTTACAAAACTAAAAATAATGAAATAAAACAAATAAAAAAAACTGTTAAACACCACGTTTTCTTAACGAAAAAAAAATTAACTCTTACATAACATTAAAGTTATGTAAAATGTTATGTAATGTTATATAAGAGTAAATGTTTTTCTTTTTTGTCCGTTAAGAAAAATGTGGTGTTTAAAAGTTTTTTTTATTTGTATTATTTCATTATTTTTTGTTTTGTAAACACCAGAAAAACATGGTTTTTAAAAAAGTTTTTTTTAATATTTATTTTCTACTTTTTGTTTAGCAATTTTAGCAATTTAAATCAATTTCCAGGGTTGGCAAGTCTGGATGTTCGACAAAAAAAATCGATTCCCAACCGTGAATTCTTAGGGTTTTATTTATTTGTTATTATTTTATTTATTTTGTTACGCAGAATATTATTATATTATAGTATATTATTTTTATTACGGGTTTTATTTATTTATTACGCAGCATAAGCATGCATGCCAAATTTCAAGTTTCTAGGATCTTCAGAAGTGCTCTAAATTAAGGTTTGAATTTTCGATGACGACAGAGACGAAGCGAAACTAAGAAAAACGTGGAAAAATGGATAATATTGTCCTAATGTCGATGCACTCTAACCGTATGTCACTCTCCGCGAACGTAACTTTCAACTTGAATTATACCTAAACTATTGAGTATAGCAACCTGTGGACGTTTGAACGCAAGTGAGAACATTTTAAAGTTGTCGTACGTGGCGGCAACCATCAGTGCAAGTCATTTTGTTTGTGCCTCCCCAGTGCCTTCGTCCCTCTGGTCCCATTTATGAATATCACTTCTTTATAAATTATAATGGCTATGCCCCCAGTGGGAGTGACGATGGGCCAGCTGGTACCGATAACAGAGATGGACCCGGAGGTCTACTGCCCTGGCCGAGGCCCCCACGAGCTCTTCAGGGCGGAACTCCCCGCCGGAATCACCGAAGAGGAGGTCAGTGTGTTATGGTGTGTCATTGTGTACAGCGTATTGCGGCGTGTTATTGTGCGGAAAGTGTTTGTTCGAAGATTCACGAAGCGAAAACACTTAACGAAGTCCCTTTTTTAGAACCTAAAGCAAAAAATGTTAGTCAAGGGAAATGAGGAAATTCAGTTCATGCAACTTTGATTTCTAAACTTTTCTTAACCTGCCTATTACGGTACTTAAGTTGTCGAATTAGTCAGAAAATTACTCTGAAATGTTCAACAAAATCCAATGTGACCAGACAGTTCTTTAATAGGCCTCTAATAGGCTTTGCCTTGTTTCAAGATTTTGTTTACATTTCATTAATTATCCCACTTGATGATAAAGATGGCTGTCAACCAGGCTAGTATAGAACGCCAAACGCGTTGGTCAAATAAATTATTCCATAATCATGAAGAAAAAGAAATTCGTGAAATTTTATTTCATCTTAGAGATCAGTAAAAAAAGGCTGCAAATTATGTTACAAATTCTCTCATCGCTTGAAAAGCACCATGAACAATATTTAAACTTTTCATTGCTGAGTCCAAGAGTTTCTGCATGGGGACCAACCGGGCAAGCGATCAACAAGGATAAATTCAGCCTAACTTATTAAGAGGGAGGTTCAGATCTAGAAACCCTTGCACCCAAACAGCTCGGTACAAATGAAAGTTAACTTTGTAAATTATATTTAGGCCGAGTGTTCAAAGAAGTAGAGAAGACCAACAAAGTACATTCAAATAGGTCCTTCATGTTGATCCTTCATATGGAGCGGTCCGCATATTTAGCAGCAAAATTCGAACTATCGACCCACATTCAAAATAATATCACTGGTAGCGAGTGACTCAAGAGTTAGATGCAACATCAATCCACTCAGATCAACAAATGGTCTCAATTTGCTATAACCACTAAACGCCATCCCCTGCCTTACGTGAGTCAACTTCGATCACTTAAGGTGAGTCCTTTGGCAATAATGAGTCAATAGAATCAGTTAAAAAAGAATCGCAAGTTTGCCCAAGCGTTCTTTCACTTCCTATCATCAAGTGCATTATCATCACACCTTAATTGCTGCCACATACGAAAAATACATTTTAGATTTTGCCTGAAAGGAATAATTCCGACCCACAGGCCCGCGCGACATGCAGGAGCTACTACCGCTGTATTCCAGGCGGGGGCAACCGCATGCAGGTGATCCACAGCAAGTGCGGCGATGGGATGTTCTTTGATGTTGAACTGCAGACCTGCCAGCTCCGTAACAAAGTCCACAACTGTGCCATGTTAGAGCGTGAGTTTTTTATTTGTATATTAGAGTTACTATTTCATTCATTGCCATCATATAACTAATTTGAATGTTCTCAAATAATTTTTTTGAAGCTCATAGTGGTCGAAGAGTCAAGTCATCTGTATGTTTGAGTTAATTAATTTAATTTCTATCCAGAAGAATAATAGTGTACATTGTACTAATTCATTTGTGACTATTTTTTATATGTCAGTTAAAGTTTAAATGGTTCCAACCGTTGGACTATAATTTCATTTTGAGAATCACGTACGCGCTGCTGCAGGTACTTATTTGATGAACTCAACTCTCTTTTTATCAAAAAGTTCAAGGGATGAAGATTGTTAAATAGTACCGATATTGATTGAGAATGATGCATATAGTTATATTAGATAATAATATTGAATAATTTTATCACAACATACAGTGGCTCAAAAACCAAAACCAAAATGGCCGCGAAATTACAACGACGAGACTCCATGCACAGCTGAAGAAATAGAGTGCGGCAGTGGCGAGTGTTTGGGCAAAGAACGGTTTTGTGATGACATTCCTGACTGTGAGGACGGGTCAGATGAGAACATCTGCAGCGGTGAGTAGACCAACATATGGGATTTTTGTATGATTCGTCTATTGCAGCCCCTCGCGGGCCCTCCCCTTTGTGGCCTTATACGCTCACTCATCGAATGCCTCACAAGTGCATCGGAACTGATCAGAATTGCCCAACTCGCAATTTCACGGCATGGGAGATGGTCCTCAACGAGTTGGACAGGAGAGAAGATTCGACTTACTCAGAACAGGTGACAGGATGTCACTTAATTGATCAGTGCTCTGGTATCGTCGACCCAAAACAGTTCAGAGCATTCCTGGAGTCGAATCTGCAGCAGCATTACACCACCAACAGAGCTCCTCTGGGTCTCCACTTCACTTCTTCCTATTTTCTCACACGTCAGAGCTTCCTGAGGGAGTTCACCAAGTGGATTGCGGACGTCGCAGCCCGCGGAGATTTTTTCTTCGTAACTATGATGCAGGCCATCCAATGGATGGAATCGCCTACTGAAATTACAGCACTTAATAACTTCGAAGAATGGAAAAGAACATGTGTTCCCACAGGACAACCCAACTGCGTTCTGCCCAACCCATGCAAACGGAGGCCCCCTCGGATTTTGGCGATTGAAGGCAGCATGGCACTCCATACGTGCATGGAGTGCCCTAGGGAGTACCCGTGGCTTTACAACCCTTTGGGGGACATATTGGACTTGGACGATTTGTAGAAAATGCTAGTTCAATGGATGACCTGTAATAATTTATTTCCATTATAGAAATACTTTGGTAACTTTAAAGGAATTTATAGCTAATAGCATGGAATGCTATGAGAAAGTATCTAGAAAATTTATTGGGCTTTTTTTCTGGCAAGGGGAAATGTATTTTCAAGTTGCAAAGTTCATTTTGAAAATCCAATTTATGACCGCCGTCGCAATGGTCTTCTTAAACCTCGTGGTCCTCTACCAGTAAATTAGTGCGTATAAAGTTTGTACAGATTTACAGCATGTAATTTTAAAGTTGGTGTCAGATAGCAAGTTCTAGATTTTCTAGCAGTAGATTGTCAAAAATTTAGTGGCATCAAAAATAAAAAGCACTCATCAGTACAGCGATAGTGATTAACAACCTCATTGATAGTGATAGCGATAGTGATTAACAACCAAGAGAGTCGGTCATCTTGATTAACCAAGTTTCGACTTTTAACGCAACATGCGAGACAAGATGAAATCAAAATAATTATTTAGGAGAAGTTATTTGATTCACGGTTAAATGTTATTCACATTGACTAATGATCGAGTGCTTCACGTTTGAGAAAACTAATATATTCATCAAATATCAAGCCAAAAATCTCGAGTACTAATAACTACTTCAGGATTTCTATTATAAAAACACCCAAGTTCAACAAATAAGTATTTTTTTTCAATCAGTTTCTCTGTATATTATAATTGAACAACATAGAAGCAATTCTATAACCTTCATTCATGTGGCTGACACTTTTGCGAATAAAATAAGAAATTATAATAAACCTTAAGATATCATTTGGATATATTTAAATATTAAGTAGTAATTGAGTAAAACTAAAAAAACAGGCGAGAAATTCAGCATTTCAATGTTTTTTACTTAAAAATCAACGAATCACGGCTCAGAAAATTGAAATTTTCCACACTCTTGTCGAGTGGCTGAATGTGGCATTATCACAGGTTATATGTTCCAACTTTACCCGTCTAATTTTCTGAAAAATTGGCATCTGTAACTTCTACCAATGTCATGGAGAGCTGACTGTAAATTAATGATTTTAACCAGCATGAAAGGCAATACATCTATAAATAATACTTGAGTATGTATGTATATAATACTTGATGGACGTGCAGAATCTACAACTACAAGTGTTACTTGATGGATGATCAGAGATAATTCAGAGTAAATCCATAAATTTGTCTTAATATAAAATTGAGATCTCAATTTTTCTCAGAAAGACACTCATGGAAACATTATCTATCAGAAATACGTGAAGAGCAGGGCCGAATAAAGTAGAAGACTGTGCCAGCACTCAAGATGTAATTCAAATGTGATAATATCCATCGAGCTGCATGTAACCAACCTGCATCGCCCCAACCTATAACTTGCATCAACAAAAGACACGCTCCTTGTAACAGTCGGCAGGCACCCCCTGGTCCCCTCGTTTAGACCAAAGTTGTGTTCGACTGTGCGCCTGAACACGTGTTGTTAATATACAAAAATAAATCAACATATAAATTATTGCTTTGAGTTGAAATTTCCATGGCGGATAATATCGTTCCCATTTAATTCTAGTGCAGGCTTGCCAGATGATGGCAAGAGGAAACGATCAAATCTTATCGCAAAACTGGTTTAAGTATATATTTATCAGTAAATTTACAATTTGGAGTATGACAATTTAATTTTTCGTACATTTCATTCATTGAAAATTACAATACGTTTAAGGCCATATTTGATCGTTGCCTATAGACGCAATTTAAAGCCCAAATCGTTTAATTTGGCCGGAAAAATGCCAGTGTGCAACATTTATTGGCAAGTGCCACCATTTGCGTTCAGGTTGACCTAGAAAAAAAGAACACAGCTCTATTTTAACACGTTGACTACGATTGCTTCATCTTGTACTATTATTTCATGTTTTGTACTGTTTTCAAACAGGGTTGCCAGACGGTCATTTTTCTGGACAAATTCCGTGATTTAGTTTTCCTCAATTACGTTGGCCGGCTAAAATTTATGATATGGATACTTCCTATTTAAATTTTAAACACTGCAAACAGAAAATAAATGGAATTTTTATGGCGGAACCGACAAATAAACTAGTATATATTGAGTTTCCGGCCTTTTATGTTCTCGGATTTGGCCGATTTTAGGCAACCTGAATTATGAACTACTACGTCCTGGAGAAATACATTTCCTGGTACGCATATGTACCACTTCGGAGTCAAAGTGTTAAATCAAACTGATTAAATCTAAAAATTTTATAAATTTCTAAATAATATAGATTTTATTTGTAGCAAAGTATCCACGCTTTAAAATATCATAAATAGCAGAGCCTCATAATGATGAATTTCAGTATCCATGTTGATATTTTGTTACTACAGTGAAAAGGAGAACGCTATGTAAATAAGTAATATTCGGTATTTTCTTAATTTGGTCGGGTGAAACCTATACAAAGTTCATCGAATAACGGTCGGTCATTGACCTAAGATGCTCACGATATGGATTATTCGATGGCTCAATAATGGGTTGTTCGATGGTTCGCTGATGGTTTGGTCAATGGTTCACGACGAATCGTCATGGTTCACAACAGTTGATTTTCAAATTTTGCTTGTGAAATTAGATTTCAGTTATCAATCACGGTATTAATAGCCTAATAAAAGTCTGCAGAAATTCGGGCCTAACGACGAGAGCGCCAACGAATAATTCGACATCGAATTGTCTTCGTAAAACATCCAACCTTGGGGCCTCTCATGTCCAAAGCACTGTGCACGTGTTTTGGTGTACTCGTTTTATCTTATCATTTAACACAACACTTACTCTGTGACCTCAATGATACCTTTATCTTTATTATCATACAATATTTTCCTCCTCTCTATTCAGTACCGACTGCGATGATGGCTTCATAACAAACTTGTTGCTGGGGAGCTCAAGTCCAGGGCCCATATTTTCAAAAAAAGTTAAGAGATCGTAAGTTCATCAGCCAATCATTGACGACCTTTCAAGCAAAATCCACCAATCATAGACAAGAAAATAGAGCGTAAGTACTTACGTTCACTTAGCGAGTTTTGGAAGTATGGCCCCTCCTGAAATGAACCAAGATTCAACCGCAAACTCAAAAAGTAATCTACTGAGTATACAAGGAACGTTGAACTTTCGACAGTACACTTCCCTTAATGTTAGCGATTCGATCCTTATTACAGACTTTAATGTTGTTATCCTATACTTTTGATGTCAATGTCCGCAGCACGGCAACATCTATAGCACTGTCGACGTTAATGTAGTTAATATTCATGGAACGATGTAAGATAATAAAATAAATAATACCTCAATAATGTTGACTTTTTGTAGAAGGAAATATATTGCCCATATGCGCACAATGTTGTCATAATTGGCCGATAATATAAGGAAATGCAAAGTTCATTATCACTTAATGTTGAATTTTTAAAGTGAAATAATGGGTTACTATGCTCACTTCACAATTAATATTGCTAGAATTAATGATAGCAGAAAATGTTCGATAGAGCGCGGCAACATTGCATGATGTCCGTGAGAACCTCATGAGAACGTATGAGATTTTATGAGTTGATTGATGCCAGTAGGTCAATGCGATGGACATGATAATGAGCATCGTATCTGGTGATGGCCTTGTGATCAAACCGCTGCAAATTCACTTGATTTCTAATTTTTATATAAAGCGTGAGAAAAATACATGTTATGTGTGAAGAAAGAGGGAGGAAGGCTGCTGTAAGAAGAAAAAATTGCAGCACTCTCCCGTACGTTGAGCTCGGTTCTTTGTCCTGCCATGACCAAGCAATGTGACTGCATGACGTTGGGGCATAACGTTATGAAATATTCGTTTCTGTAGTTTCTGAATTTCTGAATTGTTTTGATACATTTGAGTTTTGTTCACCTGAAATGAACGAAACAAATCCATCGATGAGATTTGGAAGTGGCGTTCTACGTGAAACAAGAACCATGCGAACAGAACATTTAAAATGTTTTAGTCAATATAAGGATTCAGTTTTGTCTTATTTGGCGTTTTCATATCAAATTACTCAAGTTGAGTAAGTTTTTGAAATTGAATTTAAGATAATAATAAAGCTATACTAATTTTTTAGGGATTTTGCAATGAAACTTAAATTAGAATCTTTAAATGATACAGGATTCCTTATCTCATGATGACAATTCACAGGATACCAAACTTTATGATGGCGGTATCCAGGATACCAAACCTTATGATGGCGGTACACATTAGAGGATTTTTTGATTCAAATTTTTAAGGTCGAACAATAATCTACAGATGACGTTGGTCGATAAAAAGGCAGGTTTGAGGAAATAATTTTATTTTATTAATGACGTTAGTATGCAACAACAAACGATTTCTGCTATCTAAATTAAGCAAATTATCTTAGTTAGCCGCAGGGATAAGCAGTAAAACATTACCTCGTTCACCACATTAGAGAACGGAGGCTGAAAGTCACAATTCGAGATGTTGCTGATTTAGTTTGACTTGATTTCTAAATTTTTCCAGTCTTTAAACACATGCGTTCAGAAAAAATTGACTTTGGCATTGACAATTTTGCGACGTACAGATTATGAATCAAGAGAAATATCTGTCTTGATTCCTGTTAACTTCATGCAAATAAAAATGTACAAAATGAATGAAGACATATAGGCAGTGATGAATGGTACATTTTTATCGTGAATGATCTTAGACGTAAGCTGCTCGCCTCATCAGACGATCTGTCTCAATATATACGCACAATTTCGCTAGTCATGTTCGGAATTTCGCTACTCGCAAAAGAATTTTGTACATCGCAAGATGCAATAATTGATTTCCTCCATATTAATGAATATATTCGTCCATATCGAACTAACAGGATATAATTCTGCAATTCATCTATCTCACTTATTTTATTATTTATGAATATTATTAAAAGATGACAGAATTTATTCATTAATACAAGTTCAATTTAAGACCGTTTTATCAAAAACTTTATTATTCATTTCTTTAAACAAACCAATCAACATTTTTCCACTGTTTTGGTAGATCAAAACTATGCATATCAAACCATCTATTAGATTATGTATCATCAATATGTGCATGCATCATCAACATGTACACGTACCATCAACATGTACATGTATCATCAACTATCTTATATCATATTAATACATTCATTAATTATGAATGTCAAAACATCTCATCACAGATGTTATCCCGTTGGTAGCACGGATACGACGGCGGTATGTGGGACATATAAAGGCGCGCTCCTCGGCCGCGTAGGTCAATACTGCGCGGTCCCTTGCGCCAGACGGAGGGTGTGTGTCGCTGCTGCCCTCGGTCCTTTCTAACTTCGTCCTTGTTCTG